AGCCCGATGCGGGACTCGATCCCAGGACGCTGGGATCATGACCTGAGCCGAAGGCAGACGCTTAACCATCTCAGCCACCCAGGCGCCCTAGTAAATTTTTTTTTTAAAAAACAACAGATAACCACAAAGTAACTTTAAAGCATATCATCTAGCAAGTATATATAAGATATTTTACAAGGTCATCATTCTTTACTTTTTGCTGAAATAGGTCATGGTATATAGGTATTCAGGCTAAGGCTTCCTTATATTAGTGTTAGTTTTTCAAGTTTTATGTCCTACTTTTATTTTCAAAAGATAAGCATCACAGAGAATTAATTGATAAATAATAATTTCAATAATCATTTTAATTAATATACCTATACCTTAATATGGTACTTCTTTCATGAACTGAAAAATGTATGATCATAAACACAAAAATTCCAATTTTGCAAAAAAAATTTTTTAGACATCCACAGAGAATGACTACTTGGTAGGATTTAGGCACTGTTTTTTAATGTTTTCAAATTTTCTGCTCTGAACATGTGGCTTTAACAGCAGAACAGTTATTAGGATACTGTTTTCTCCTTTATCTATATTATCAATTCAAATGATGATGGCAATTGGAATAAGTTAGAAGTGTACACCTACATAAACTGAAAGCAAAACCTAGTACCCAAAGGTTGTGTCTATCTTAGTAACTGTTACAGTAAGAGAATAACAATAATTTTCCTAAATAAATTATTCTAATGACTATTTGTAATAAAAAGCATTAATTTTACCATTGTTATCTAAGAGACTAGCAGAATGTATTGCCTAGAACTTTTAAGCATTTTTATTGCTATATTCACTTAGGGTCTCATTTACATACAGCTCTCCAGTTGCATCTTGCAACGTTGGGTGTCCATGGGAAACAAGGTCAAGTCCAAAGGGCATGAAAGAGTAATAGATAACCTGAAAGTAGAAACAGGTCTTAGAAGTCGCTTAATATGTTTTTCTGTGATAATCTGACTTAAAATATATATACATATATATATCTGTACAAATATTAAAGAATACCTCATGCTGACAAGAACATCTCCATCACGAAAAATAAAGAGAAGGATATTTTCCTGGGTCACATCATGAAAATTGGCACTTTTTTCGTTTGCAAAAAATAAGTCAGGTTTCCAAAGACATTTGTACATTGTGGGATCCACCGTCAGTGCATCTGAGCCCCGAAAATCACTAGGGAGCTTCAGCCTGGGATCATTCCATTTCTGTCTCAAGAAAATGTTAACTCTATAGTCCTGGAAAAAAAAAATGTGTGTATGTGTGTGTTTACTGCTATTTGAAAGAATATATTCAGCACCAGAATAAAAAGAGTTTCAGTGATAAGCAGCATAAATATTTTTAGTCTCCCACCATCAAACAGGATCAAAACCGCTTGGTCACTAAATATAAAGAGCCCCACGGGCAGTATAAAAAGACCCTTGTGTCTATTTAACAACTCTCTACAGAAATTTCCTTAGCACTTGCTAGCTCCAACATCAAAATATAACTTTACCAATAATTGCTTCACCTTTTTACAAATGCCAATTACGCCAGTTTGTTAAGTGGTGTTATTGTAAAAACATGAGCCTGCTAAATATTGTCATTATTCTTCCCAAAAAAAGTAGAAAGCTAAATATTGTCATTATTCTTCCCCAAAAAAAGTAGAATAAAATTAAATTAAAAACAGATAAGAAGCCAAGGGAAAATGTTTCTATTTGCTTTTTACTAAGTAGCAAACTATAAAAATAATATACATAGGGTGGGAGGATGGGTTAGCCTGGTGGTGGGTATTGAGGAGGGCACATTCTGCATGGAGCACTGGGTGTTATGCATAAACAATGAATCATGGAACACTTCATCTAAAACTAATGATGTAATGTATGGGGATTAACATAAGAATAAAAAAATTTAAAAAAAATAATATACATATATATAACATATACATTATATCACATGTATATAACACACATACTTATATATGTATATGTAAGAAGGAAAAAGAAAAACTATTCTTGACTACTCATATATGTACATGATTGTAGAGAGAATTTGAGATAGTCAAATGAGATTTGCATTATGCAAAACAGATGAGTATATCAAAATTTGCATTGTGTTTATTTAACTATAGTAGAAAAATGGCTTGAAATCTGCTAAATAGCTGGCTATTTTACTTCAGTTTTTTTGTCTATCTCTAAAAATTAAATTATGTCAAGACATATATTTTAAGAATATGTGAACCTAGGAACATGTTCAATAGCTTAATACATTTTACATCTGCCAGTGAAATGGGGTTCTGGCAAAAATCAGGTTGTTAGCATATACAAACTTAGCATTGAGCATCGTGCTCAGGTCTTTTGATTTTAATATTACATACTGTATTCAGAACATGCACAAAAGTGCTCAAGGTAAAAATTGTTTTGGGCTTCAGCTTCCTTATTTTCAATCATTCAAAATTCACAAAATACTGTCTTACCCATAGCCTTTCAACATGATCAAAATGAATTAAATAATAAACTTCAAATTGAAATCTAAAGTAACTAGGAAGAGGTTATAGACCATCTTTTATTAAGTAATAAGAATAGATTTCTATGAAATGTAAGTGCACATGCTTTATATATGTATAACATATAAAATAAAGCATAATCAAGAGGTATAATTGTCCCAGTAAAAAAGCTTGGACAATTTACTTTCTCACATTATCTTCAGACTCTGTATAGTAATTGTAGAAGGGTAAGGTACATAGTAACAATATCCACAAACTGAAGTATAGACAGTGAAATAAGATTTAAACTGCCTACATCTCATAGCTACTCTAAACTTAAGGTTTATAAAAACTTCAACATGTGTAATACAAATTGATTCTTAAAAATTACATGCCGATGACACTAGAGGGCCAAAGTCAAATAAATTAAGGATTATATAAACTGACACTGAACATATCTGCGCCACTGATAAAAAAAAAAAAGATAACATTTTTCTAATCAGATGAACATGGAATTAAGGAGGGGATAAAGGAGGCCTAGAACTCTGGAAAATAAAGAGCTGCATTGTACAACTACATGAACCGTCAAAATATACACCTATCTTAGAATTCATAATGGGACTTATTTGCTTCACATCTGACAGTGATTATGACAACAAGAATTAATTCATACACGTCCAAGACAAAGGCTTATCTACATCACATGGTGAGACTTCCAGAAGACCTCATGTTGCTTCCTGATGCAAGCTTTTATCCATTCCAGGCAAACATGCATGGCCCTCCCCTTTAAAAGGAATACACATTAGGTTCAATTATTTTCTTTTTTTTGAAAAAAGACATTTATTTGAGAAGGAGAGAGAGAGAGCACACAAGGAGGGGCAGAAAGGGAGGAAGAGAGAGAATCTCAAGCAGACTCCCTGCTGAGCATGGAGCCCCATGCAGGGCTCCATCCCATGACCTTGATATGACCTGAGCCAAAATCAAGCCTCTGACGCTAAACCCACTAAGCCACCCAGGCACTCCTAGGATTAATTTTCTAATAAAATACCAATTACACTACCTTAGCTAAAGCACATGGTTGACATACATTTGACATTACTTTGAGCACTTAACAGTATTCAACTTCAAATTATTTGCTAAAAAGCTTCCTTGGAGTGATCTGCTAAAATTATTGGTATTCTAAAATTACATACACTAAAACTATTCTATTACCTTCTCTATGTACTGTGTCTTATCAAAAGGTAAATCATCAAAAACTACATCTTCAAACTGCCATATTTAAAATGTGCACTCACAATGTCATGATAAAATACATGTCCTTAACTTGCTATCAAGGATTAGTATGAAAAATAACCAGAAGAGGTTGCCTATGTATCTTTTATAAACACGTTATTAAAGCCATGACTCCTTATTTTGGTCAATGACCATTATATGAAAATATACAAGATAAATTCTTCTTTATTTATTTAATTTTTTCATTTGTTTATACATATATTACCATAATATCATTATATAGGTGTTTACTATGTGCTAGGCATACTTAGTCTAAGCACTTTGCAAAAACAAATCTATTCCTCAGAGTTTATACTAAAAATACTTTCTTGATTCTCTTATATGCTCTCTATTACAGGAAAGCAAGACTGAAGTATCCCATCATGTTTTTATTTCTGCTTGGCAGCTAGGGAACTGAAGGCTAAATTCTATAGTCAATTGAATCAATAATTTCTCTCTCATATCCTTGTATGACTATCACTGCATGGCCCTTGCACATTTAGTCCTATTTCAGTTATTTCTTTGCATTTTTTTGTTATTTTGATACACCACAAACCCTTGCCAGAAATAGAGATGGATGAAAAGTAAAATAACAGTCGAGGGATTGTCATATACTTGACAAGAGTCTGTGAGCATTATTTGGATGCCACTTCCCAGAAACTCTGCCAATGTGGCTTTTAGAATTAAGATGCTTTATTTTAGTCTAATATTAGGTTTTCTTACTTTAATAGAATGTTAGCTGTATGTTTAGAGATACAGATATCTAGATTAAAACTACTACATCTTGGAATGTATGCTAGTTTACATCTTAGTAACTAATTTCCAGTGACATTATATCGATATCTTATGATAATACTCAAGATATCTGACAGGAATTAAAGCAATTCTAAGCTTTAACTTTGGCATATTTTGCATAATTAAAAAGAAGCCACTTTCGGAGTTCCTGGGTGGCTCAGTCGTTAAGCGTCTGCCTTCAGCTCAGATCATGGTCCCAGGTTCCTGGGATCAAGCCCCGCATCGGGCTCCCTGCTCCACAGGAAGCCTGCTTCTCCCTCCCCCACTCCTCCTGCTTGTGTTCCCTCTCTCGCTGTCTCTCTCTCTGTCAAAAAATAAAAAATCTTAAAAAAAAAAAAGAAGCCACTTTGTAATGTTTGGGGTAGAACTTCAGAAATTACCCCAGCATTAACACTGAATTCTCCTTAAAATCTCCAAACATTGGGAGCACTATTCTATGTTCCACAATTCTACCTCCAAAAATGGTATGGCTAACTCATCTAAAATTATACAGAAAAATTATTTTTCTTTTAAAATTTTAAAGCAATTGAATGGTGCTTCTCCATGTGAAGTTCATTCTTCTAAATCCTTCTTAAAGTCTAATCAATATTTCCATCAATCCAAGAATATCTTTATATAATGTAAATCTTTATATCAGTTATTAAGTTCAAAGCATTTTAACCAGCCAAAAGCTGATTAAAGCCCAACGTAGCCCTACATAGTATCAAAGGCTTTGACAAAACAAAACCTATCCATGGGGAAAATTACAAAATTACAAATCATATAAGAATGTTTTAATGCCACTCCTTTTAAAATTCTCTATATCATCATAAATAATTTTTTATAGTTATACTAATCAAATTATAAAGTCTAATATAATGGAGTCAACACGGGCTTGGAAATATAAAGTTCCTGACTCAAGTTTCAGCTCTGAGTCTTAAAGCTTTCACCTTGAGCAAGTCTCTTAAACTATCTGAGCTCAATTTCTTAACATAAAAAAAATAAAAACAGGAATCTTAATTTCTAATGCGATAATTCAATAAAATGCTCAATGTAAAAGATTAATATAGTACCTGCTATATAAATAAGTTAGTTTCCTTTCCAATAAACATCCTTGAGAATCTAGCTACAGAGTATATCATATACTTTCTGAAAAGGTTTTTTTAAATTCCTCCTAAGTCCCTAGGTGATGGGTTGGCTCATTCATTCAATTCAAAATTTATTTATTAACCATATATTCCTTTCTATGCTCTGGGTACTAAGGATACCGCTGTGAGTACTCTCAGACTTCAAAGAAATAATTGTCAGTTACATTGGCAATCAGTCAAATATAAAACAATTTGAAAAAGACTATGAAAATGGAAATAGATTGCAAATGGAGCATCTAGATTCAGGATTAGGTGAAAGTAACCAAGTGAACTGACACCTACACTGAGACCTGAAGACAGGACAATTAGACAAATGTGGGTCTGAATTATGACCTATTATGTGCCCTAAGGCAAGTCACTTAACTTCTCTGAGCTTCAAATTCGTCAATAAAATTAATCTTCAATTATTCACAAGAATCAAATAAAAGGCTGTACCTAAGGCATGAAACCTGGGACAAAGAGGGTACTCAAAAGTTAACAAATTTATTATAGGTATTATTAACATTATTACCATTATAGTTATTATCACCTCTTTGAAAAGGCTCACAATTACTATTGACAGCATTCTTTTTCTATTGTT